TGTAATAATCGCCTCTAATAACCAATGAATAGTATATATGAACATTTGTAAAATGAAGGAATTTCAACTATATTTGCAAAATTCCATGCCATTGTTTTAAGATAGACTGTCAAAAGAAAATAGCTAATATTTTAGAGAGAACATTCTAATAATATTGAAATATTAGATGCAAATGGACTATTTATTGACATATTACAGAGTAGCCGTTAATATTAAAAAGCAACTAAACATAAATAGTAAAAATTAAAGAATGGTTAACTGTCCATTAAGTAGTATCTGTAGGGCAAGTTACATAAAGTTCTAGAGTTTAAAAAAAAAGATGAGTTTAAAAATGTTGAGTTTTTTCATAGATTAAAAAAAACGACCCAAATGGTAATCTCCTAAAATTAATTTTTATGTGAGTGGGTCTGACAGAGCTTTGTAAAATGATTGTTAGAAAAATACTAAATCTACATGGGGTAAGTTATTCTAATATCACAAGCTAAAGAAATGTACTTACTGAAACAGGTTTCATCACGGAATGCCATATGTATAGAATGTGGTAAAAATTTAGCAAGTACAATATTAAAAAAACCCAAAAAACAAACAAACAAAAACCCCAACAAACCACCAAATACCATAGAAGTCTTCTTCCTATGGTTTTAAGCTATTGCTGGGTGCTATCAAATGCTATGTGTATGTGAATCTAGGAAGACTTGGTAAGAGTCTTCTCTAGCTGAGCAAGTTCACTCTGCAGAAAGCAATAGTAAGATTGATGGATTCTGTTCAGTGGAAAGCAGTAAGGCTTCATGTGGTCCAGGTTCAATGAGTTTAGGTACTACAGAAATAAGTCAAACATCTACACTCCTTCCTGAGACAAGTTATATGTTTAGGGGAGTAACGGGGTGGCCAAGTCACTGAATAGAACATAACACAGCAAAAAGAAATGAACCAGTACATTGAAATAAAAATACAAACTGCCTACATTAATTATTTAAATATTATTCGTCTGTATACATGTAAATTTCCAAGGCTTATGACAATTCCTGATGCCCTAGTTTTCTTAGAACAATGGATACATCTGTGCAACAACCAAGCAGAAAATATGAAACTAATGGTGTTACAATATATTGCTAAAAACTTGACATTTTTATTTCAACTTGCAAAGTTCTTTAAATGTACACAAATCTGTTTTTTCTCATATTTAACAAAATAAAGATTTCAAAAAATTTAACAAAAATTCTTAAAACTTATTAGTGGCCTGAGAAAATTTTCAGTTCACTATTTTCCTTAACTAGTGTTAAAAATAACATAGGCATAATGTTATACACATAATGAGTTAACACTTCATTGTACATTTTAAGCAGTGAACAAATGGAATATATAGCAGACCTATCTTTTTATTTTAATTTAGAATGAATCAAAGTTCATGCATGGAGTCAAAGGTTCTAATAATCATCTACAGCTACTTATCAATAGTGATTTAAAATCACATCAACATCCTTATTGTTTCAATCAGACATTTTGATATTCTTTGTTAAAGGTTTGACATATGAGAAGATCATAAAGATTTGCAGTTGATTCTGAGATTGCTACTAAAAGAAGGGCCTTTGAAGTCTGTTTCACCAATTAATTATAATTAATAATTATTATAATGTACTATAATATAATATAATAATATATAATATTATATATTATATATTATATATAATATAATATACTAATATTATATATAATATAATAATTATTAATGTACAAGGACATACAAGAATGTCCTTGCTGCCACAAGGTACAAGTCAGCCTAGTGGTAACAATGTTAAAAAATTACACATATTGACTTTCATTTCTTTATACTATATATAGGTTGTTTAAATTAAAAAAAAAATCTTAAAGTCGGAAATTGTCATTTGTAGATCCTTGAATTTATACCTGGATCCTAAAATCAATAATATGACATTCGCCTTTACAGAGGAGTAAGAATGCTAGGCATGGGGTGATGATCTGAAATGTCACAATGTGCTGTTCTACTTTCAGAGAAGTAATATTTCAGCTATGTGAAAGTACACACAAACAGCAACCCAGAAAAGTGCCATTTCCAGCACGCAGTTAGCCTTGCCTAAGAGTCGCTTGAGAACCAGGAGAGTGCTAGGATACAGTGCAGCAACCTAAGCTGAATACTGCAAGCATGAGCCTTCTGTTCAAAACCTGATGGCCATTAATGTGAGAAAACATAAAGATATTAAGAATAACTTCAAATTTTCAGAGTTGTTAACTCTGTATTTTTCTAAGCAAAACTTTGACTCTTGACCTAAGATTACATATATTTAAAAGTTCACTTAACGCTGAGATGAGATCTTACTACGTCAATTACAGTCTCTTACCCTGGTAAGAACCCAGGAGGCTAAGGACAAAGCAGCTCTGTAAAAGCAGCAGCACATCTAGGATGCTAACACAGCACAAGCAGCAACGGAGAAGGGAATGCCCCCCCTCCCGCACAGAAATCAGACCACAGACTCCGCAGAGAATGGTAAAATCTAATTCTTGATTACTTGATAAACATCAGCACTACTCTGAGGTAATTGAACTGACTTTTCATATTTACTTAAAGTTTTCACCCAAGTTTATAACGCTTAATAAATTTTAATTTTAAAAATGGATTCGCTATCAGTTTCCTAAACAAAGAAAATAAGGTTGTTATGTTACCAAATCTAATTTTGTTTCACTCATGCAACAAAAATGTAATGAAAAGCTATTGTATGTCATAGATTATTGGGCATGGCAGCAATATAGTCATGATTAAAATAGATACAAATCCATGCTCTCTTAAGAGTTAACTTCTAGTGGGGATAGAAAATAGATAAGCACATGAATAAAAATATACAGTACACCATACTGACAAGTACAAAAACAATAAGGCAGAGGACAGGAGGTAGTAAAGTGGTACAGAGAATCATAGAAAGAGGAGAGATTTTGTTGGCAAACACGACATTTTGGGAAAGCAACTGATGGAAGAGCTGCAAAGATATCTGCGGGGAACTACTCAGGCTACAGAAACAGAAAAGGCCAACTCTCAGACAGAACATACCTGTTATGTTCAGTGAAAACGGAGAACCGTGTGATGAAACCATGAGCAAGGAACATAGATGATGACATGATGTCATAGAGTACACGCGGAGCCATTGCTTATTGTGAAGATGTGGTTTCTTACCATGGGTAAGTAAAGTTGAGGGACGGTTTTAAGGAGGAGTGATATAATCTAATGCACTCTTTAAAAGGATGACTGGCTGCTTATCTGATTAAGGACTGAAAGGTGACAGGTCCAAAGAGGGAGATTAACAGCTTTCTAGGTAAAAAGTCCTGGTTGTTGTGGATCCTAACAGTAACAGCAGGGGAGGAGTAGAGTGGATAACACTCCATGGCGCCTCTAGGACAGCTGAGACAGGTCTGCTGAGAGACTGACTGAGCGAAGGACAGAGTGGAAAGAAGGTTGTCAAAAGGGCTATTATCTTGAGCGACCATGACAGAACTCACAAGCACTGAAAGGAGGGACGGACAAGATAAAAAGGTGTGGATTAAGGGACAGACCTTGGTTTTGAAAAAGGTAAGTAATAAATGCCTGCTCAATTTCTGTATATATTTAACAATTCTAAAGAAGCAGCTGAAACAAAAGTGGAGAATTCTTAAATAAATAAATAACCCTGGAATCCAGAAAGTCTAAGTTTAGTTATCACCAACGGACTTAGTATACATACGTAAAAGACCAACTTGAACCTGGTATATAAAGAAGATAAAATGGTAACATTTGGAGCTAAGATCAAATGCCCCACAGGAAGCTATGTAAAAGGAACAAAATGTAAAGAAATACTCTCCAGGAAATTAAAATTTAAGTTTTTAATATAATTTAAATTTATACTGACTATGGCTTGTCCTTGGGGGAAAAAGCGACTCATATACTTTAATTAACTTCCCACTGAAGTGCTGTTACTAAAGAGCTGTATGTGGATTTACACGGCAGTATGTTCCTTGCGAGAATCATACAAAAAGAAAGCAGGAGCCTGTTGTATGCTAGACACTAATCCATGTCCTGAGCACAGTTGAACATCGACAGAAGCAAGCCACTAGCCTACAGTGGTGCTGGGGACAAGCACACTGCACTGAAAACATAAGCACAATGCTTTTCAAAATCCATAACTTATTCATACAGTTGGAGAGACTGAGAGCCATAACCATCCATTCTATAATACAAACCTTCATCTCAAAGTCCTCCTTTAGATCATCCTCATTTTCCATGTGTTAGATGTGAAGATTGCTATATCCTTCTGATCATTAAGAATTACTCAAATATTTAATGTATTTTTCCTACATTAATACTTCATAGGTAATTTATAGCTATTAGTAAAAAATGTGGATTCTGTTCATATAGTCTGTGAATGCTCAAATTTATACTATGCCAAATTAACAAAACTTTCATAGTGAAACAAATAGTATATGAAAAACAAATACTTTCAGGGCTGAAAATAATGACAAAAATACCAAATTTTACGTCATTAAAATACAGTAGCATTCTTACTTCACTTCTCATTAACCTAAAATGGCAGTCCCATTTCCAATGGCAAACAATGTTATTTCTGAAGCCAAACTAACAAAGTTAATATTCCATTTTATTTATCAGACAATTACATGCAGAGCAGCAAATAAAGAAGAAAAAACAAAAACAAAACTCAAAAACACTTTATTAATTAAACACTGAAGCATTTAGAAAGGCATGCCACCAGTCAAAGAAAAGTGCAGAATTTGTTGTATACATATGTTGACATTTCTTTAAAGAACTGCTACTGTGTATATATATATATATACACATATATATATATTTAAGATGCTATAACTTTCATATCTCTTTTGTATTATCTTAAAACTATCAGCGAATCTAAGCTGTTGAGTATAAATGATTGCACAGTATTACACTGTAATTATTATGATAGCAGTACTTTAACTCATCTTGGAAGGAGGCAGGAGCTTACCTGAAATGTAGATGATCTTTTGATCACTTCTTTGACCAAGGGAATTTGTCACTTTACAGACATAAACACCAGAATAATTGAAATTCAGTGGTTGGACAAAATGAAGAGTATTGTCAGAAGCCAATAAACCATCAGGCCATTGTCCATCCAACCTAGATTTTAAGAAGCATGATGTTATTTTAAATAGCTTAAAATAGCAAACACTGACAATTATTTAAACTGTTAAACTTTTAAGATGCCAATAAATCTACCTATGTGTTGGATATTAGTTATGAATGTATATAAATTTGATTCCAAATTATTTTATCCTTAACTATCCAAGTCCATTAAGTGCATCCACTTCTTTAGAAATTTAATCTATGTATGTTAGACAGGTCATCATAATGAGAAGGAAGATTTTCATATTCTTTAGTAAATTTCTTCCACAATTTCACCAATTAAATATATGCTACATTCTGATAACTGTCATCCTCTACCATCTCTGAAGTTCCAAACCCCTTTTGCCTGACCCCCAAAGAGTTATTTTTCCTATTCATGTCTTTTTGTGGCACAATGAGTTGACCAAGGTTATTGGTGTAACCATGGATTTAGAACTATTCCCTGGAACCTAGTGGGCTCATTTGTGGGTACCTAATTGAAGACAACACATTTCATCGCTCTCCCCAGAACACAGGAGTTCAACAGTTCAAAAAGCAGGGGTTGGGTCCTATGAGTCCCTTCATGAACGACGATTGGCTGGAGACAGGTCAAATCTAGTGCAGCGTCACTAGAGGCTGCCACAGCCTGCACTGATTGTGTCAGGGACAGAATACTTCACAGCTCTTTCTCCATCTTCCTGCTTTTTATTTCCCTCCCACTCTTCAAAATATTGCTCGAGCATTTGATGGAGTGTTATAATGTCCCATTCAGGGTTGAGCACTCAACTATCACTTGGCCTCAGAACCTTGAGCAGTCATGGAGCTCTGCATTCAACACCACTCACCGCAGAGGAAACTACATCTCTAGATCTCTCCTGGCACAAAAACCAACTCTAAATGAATGAAAGACCTCGGCATAAAACCATTATGTTCGAGCGAAAGGAAGCTGATTTGCTACAAGATGCAGTCATACGCAAGACCTTCTTAAATTTGAGTCTATTAAAAAACAAAGTCAAGAACTAACAAATTAGACCACATGAACTAGTTTGTGTACAGCAAAGTCCATACAATGAATGAAAAATCTTTGCCAGCTACTTAGCTACAGAGTTATTGAATATAATACATACAAGAAAATAAAACATCAAGAAAAGAATCTAATTTAAAAATAGGCTATGGAGGGAGTGAAGCCTTAGTTTGCTTTAACTACCAGTCTGAAGCTCCGAGTCCCATAAGAAAAGACTCACAACTCAACGATTGCTCAGAACAGACAGGATTTATGAGCATGAATGGGAAGATGTTTTGGCATTTAATTGACTGTTAATTGATATAGGAAGGCCCAGCCCACTGTGGGCACCACCATCCTTTGGTAGATGGACCTGGGCTGCACACGAAAGTTAGCTTTCTGCTTCAATTTCTGTCCCAACTTTTTTCAGTGATGGACTGTGATCTGTAAATGGGAATAAACCATTTCTTCCCTTAATTTACTTTAGGTCATGGTATTTTACCATAGCAACAGAGATGACACTAACAATATAAACAGATAAATTTCAAAGGAAAAACAAAAGAAATACAAAGGGCTAATGGACATTTTTAAAAGTTAGATATTGTTAGTGATTAGGGAAATTAAAACTACCTTGAAAGTTTATTTTACCCACTGGAATGACTATCATATGAAGAAATCAAATGAAGAGCTGGAGAAATGGCTCAGCAGTTAAAAGGGTTTGTTGCTCTTGCAGAAGACTTGTGCTTGGTTCCTAGCACCCATATAGTCCCTCACAACTGTCTACTTATAGATCCAGAAGATTGTAATGCCCTTCACTGGCCTCTACGGGCTCCTATATGAAAATGATATACATATGCAAGCACACACACATAAAAACCAATAAATAAAATGTAAAAGAAATCAATTGACAACAAATACTATCCAGGATGTCAGAAGAGAAGAGCACTTATTCGCTGTGAGTGGAAGTGCAAGGCAATGAAGCCACTATGGAAATCAGTTCTTCAAAGGGCTAGGAGCAGAATTATCATATCACCCAGTTAGAAATATACTCAAAGGACTTATATCCTACTACAAAGATATCTATTCAACAATGCTAAATGCTGTTCTATTCACAACAGCTAAGACAATGAATATCGATAAATGAATAATAAAAATTTAGCAGACAGATACAATATAATTCTATTCAGCTGTAAAGGAAATAAGACTTACAAGTAAATGGAACTAGAAAAAAATTATGACTATGATAACCCAGGACCAGAAACAAAGCACTCTATGTTCTGTCTCATTTATAGACCGTAGTACTAAATCTTTTGATTTGTGTTTAATCTGGAATACCTGCAGAAGTCAGTCAAAAAGGGCCATTGGGATTGGGTGTGCCTAAGGCGTGTAGCAGAACATGAGTGATATGTAAGTAGACAGAAAGAATACTAGGGATGAAAAGTTGAAGGTTAGGGTAGGGGATGTAGGGAGGCAACAGGGAGGGAGTAATCTCAATGACAGGAATGGGTAATCTCAGTGAAGGCCATAGGGAGCCTCACTAAATTTAAATGTAGGCCAAAAACAAGAGAGAGAGTTTGAAGGGTGTCATTCTGCAGGGCATGGACTCTTAAAAGCCAGGATCATTAAACCACAATCCTAGTGCTAGATAGGAGATGCCTCTTTATAAGCTACTACTTAGCTAGGCAATAGAGGCCCCAAACTATGTAACTTCCTGCCATTTCTTGGTTGTCTACCAGAATTAGATAAGACTAGACCTACTGCTGAAGATATCACACACCCTAATTATAGGGTACAGAGAAATCAAGTTGAAACTGAAGTAGAAGCTTCCTCTCTATGAGCTAGCTTTCATCAGACCTATGATAGCAAATAGAGAGAAAAAAGAAAAAAACTGAAGTCTCTAACATTGCTGCCAGTAAGGAACAGAAATGCTAGGACAGGGTGCTGAGAGATAGCAAGAGGGTAGAAAAAGACCGAGAAACCTTTTGTTTAATTTCTACAGCTATTAATTTAACTACGCAATACACTGATTAAAATTAATCTTAATGCCTTCAGAATACCTTTCTCCTTTTAACAATTGGCTACTGTGCATTTAACTCTGTATTACCTGCTCCATACGGACTTGAATGGTGGAGGATTTGCATCAGCATTACATTTGAGGTTAACACCTCTTCTTCCCACAAACCAATTTCCATCATATCCTGTAACTGAAACTTCAGGAGCATCTAGAAAACCAATGAATGCAAACACAATCATCCTTTGTTAGGAGTACATACACTATACAATGAAAAAACATTAATGTAATGGGTAAGCTTTAGAAGAATGGAATTTATTTTTCCTTATTTTCAACATAACCACCTGGGAAGACAATATTCAGTAAACAGTAGTTGACTAAGACAATGAATGGATGGATGAGTGGATGGATGAATGGAATTCAGAATCAGATAAAATCACCTATGTCTTTATTTAGCAAAGATGCTGAATATAAGACTTCATAACTCCTATTATAAAAGATGTAGACTCATAAACAAAACAAACACAGTATATTACTCAATTAAATATGGAGACGTGGCATGTAGGTACTGTCTTAGTACCAAGTTCCTTATATAACCGTCTGAAAAAGGATGTTTAAGCTAAGAGGAGTAAGATTCATATTACAATTAAGTAATATTCGCTGTAAATGGAGAGCTGTGGCACATACTTTTTGATACTATATACAAGTACAATAAATATCTAGAGCTTCAATGGCAACAGAACAAACTACTCACTGCAGCCAAAAGGGTCTTTAGTATATGCACAGCATAATCAATTTTAACTGTAATGAGTAGTGTAATCTAAACCCAAGCATGGCATTTCACCAAAAAGTAAAAACAATAGAACTTCAGAACCCCAGCAAAGATGATTTCAATTTGCATGTATGAAAATGATAGCAGACCTAAACACTTGCTGATGTTATCTCCAATCTGCCTAATGTTAAGTCACTCTTGAAAGAAAGCAACAACCAATTTTACTCAAAAATTTAAAATTTCAAACAAATCACAATGCATCAAAACCAGAAACTGGTGAGAAGTGAAATGCAAGTACACATGAAAATGTGAGAACTCCCCAGTACAAAGGAGGCAGCTAGGACTCTTGTATATAGTTTCTTACTATTCCAAATCATAGTTTTAAAATATTTTAGCTACATAATAATTATAATATCAGTAACATCAGCTTAGAACAATACTGAAGAAAGATTTTCAAACTAGCTAAAATGTACCTATAAAGTAAGAGATAATTCTTTGTTTTGTTTTTCAAGACAGGGTTTCTCTGTGTAGCCCTGGCTGTCCTGGAACTTGCTCTGTACATCAGGCTGACCTGGAACTCAGAGATCCCTCCTGCCTCTGTTTACCCAGTGCTGGGATAAAAGGTGTGCACCATTACTACCCAAGTAAAGGAGTCTTACTAAAAACAGTAGGACCCAGCACAGGGTCAGCAGTCCAGTTAAACACAATGCAGCTGTTTGTCTTTTAAGTAGTACACATCTGAGGTACAAGTTTCCACAGCTTCCTTAAGTTTAGCCTCCTTTAAAGCCTCAACTTTTAGTTGAGCATCACTGCATACTCAGTACTCAAACCAAAGGCGATTTGACAAAGAACTCTGACTACAGGAGAAAATGCCGTATGTAGCTTAAGTTGAACGTAGACACTGGTGTAGACACTGGATGTCTAATGAGCAGAGTGTGGGGCGCACTTACATTGGATGTCTAGAATGAAAGAGTATCGGACATCCTTTTCTAAGGCTGGATGTCTGACAACACAAGTAATTCGCCTTCCTCTAGCAAATCTCGTGGGAAAGAGCTTGTACTGGCTGACAATCGTGGCTGTTTCATTGGGAAAGGAAGTTGTAGTAGATTCCATTTCACCAAGATCACCTTCCCAGTCAATACGTGCAACTGGTTTTCCAGTGGCTGCTATACAAATGGCTGCTACTGTTTCATTTCCTCCATCAATTAAAGAGTCTGGCCCTTTTATCAGGCTCACCGTAGGTTCAACTGTTTAAATGAAAAAAAAAAGTACTTCAATTAATAAGTACTTACAGTTTGTTCTATCCACATCTAGAAATAATTATACTCTTAGGGACAAATACAAATAAAATCATACAAGTATATTTTAAGTAATGCCAACATCAACTGCATTCCTGAAATAAGAGGTTAAGTTTTATATTATCATCACAAAGATGGCTGTCCTGATAAATTTTACCTTCTGAGATTCATTACTTCTGAAATAAAAATAGCTTTATACATTAAATACATTATATGTATATATATATATATATTACTTCATTCTAAGCAAATTTAAAGCAAATAGCCTTTAAATAAGTCACTGGTTTTGTTCTGTCTCTAATTCATAGCTCGATTGCTCTCTATTTTACCTTAAAGGCTATTAATATTTCCTTAAGTACCCCTTCAAGCAAAGGGAATGGAAACAAAGGGAAGGGAAAAGAAACATATATAATGCATTTACAGAGCAAATATCCATGTAACCACCACCATATGAACTAAAAATATGAGCAACTCATAAGTTCCTTGTCTCTCTGTGTATTACCCTATCTATCTAACTTGGTAAATGAATTTTTAAATATCTTCTCAATAGAATCAATAGGGCAAATTCAAGCAAATCCAAACCAGACGGCCTTATTTTACCTGTACCTGGAGTATATAACAGAACTGTTGTAATTATATGTTCTAGTTTTTTGTTTTGTTTTGTTTTGTTTTTAAGACATGGTTTCTCTGTAGCTTTGGATCCTGCCCTGTAACTAGTTCTTGTAAACTAAGCTGGCCTTGAACTCACAGAGATCCACCTGCCCATGCCTCCCAAATGCTGGCATTAAAGGCGTGTGCCACCACTGCCCAGCATCAGGTTTTCTTTGAGTCAACAGATTCGTTTCTTTAGCTTTATTATTTTAAATTCACTTCAACTATTCATTTTCCCGTGATTTAGATCCATGTGAAATTTTATTATCTTAGAACTTATTTATACAATAAGTCATTTATTTATACCAGAATTTATTACTGGCAGATGACACTAGGGTTTTTACCTATTTTTATAACTCATTCTTATACATATCTTGGTGTATTTATAAACAACTTCCTCTGATTTGTCCCAAAACTAGAACTGCTTCTATCCTGGTTATTTTCAATTTTACCCAAACTTATATGAGGTGCCAATTAACTTGCAGTCTTCAAGATATGTATCCATATATTCACCAGCTAATGTTATTAAACTATCCAGCATTTCAACCTCATATATGTCATGATGTATCATTAAGATTTACATTTCTCAAGTTATGAATGAAGGTGGAGGGTATTACATATGCTGTAGGGTCATTTTCAATGTCCTTTTCTGTCAAATGTATTTTGAGGTGAAGTATTTTTTTCTTTTTAACTGGTATGTAAAGGCTGGACATAAATCTTGGAAAATAGTTTCTTCTAAGTTAGATGTAGCACAGATTATTTTCTATCAGTCTCAAGCTTATCATTCTTCTGCTCTGTGTCTTGTTTTGTTTGAGATGTTCAGGTGCTGAACCAAGGTTCTGTGAATGGATATTAGACACATGCTCTGTCACTGAGTTATATCATCACCAGTCCATTTTGAAAAAGTTAATCCAAATGTATTGAGCTGTTTTTATTTACGTTGATGGTTAACTATGTACCAAGAATTACCCTATTTCTCCTATTTGAGTCCAAATACTATGTGATTTTTATTTTTTTCTACAAATTTATAGATTAATGGATTTCCCCAAATGCTACAAGCAATACTGTTTAAAAGTCTCTGGTAATTCCAGCATCTTCTGTCTGTGCAGATCCATTTGGGCATTTTTTAAGGCATCTCAGGCTGGACTCAGACTCACTCTGTAGCCTGCTATAACTGAGCTTCACTTTGCCTGCCTCCACCTCTAGAATGCAGGAATTACAAGAATGTGCCCCCATGCTGTGGCAAATTTACATACAGCTGGGGGTCAAAACCCCATTATGCTAGGCACTCTACCAACTGAGCCATACCCCAGACAGGAGTCTGTTTCTGTGGTCTTATTTGTACAGGGAGTTGAAGACCGACCCCCCCCCCCTTACTTGTAAAACTGGTAGTCCTCAAGCAGAGGACTATTATCTGAATTATTAATGTAGAAATACTTAAAAGACTAAAGATATTCCCTCAAAAACAAAACAAAACAAAAAAAAAAACTTTCTTTGGCCAAGCTCCTACAAACTAATTAGGCCAGGATTTTCTCAAGTTCTTAAACTATATAGCGTGGGTCTATGACTCTTCAAACATGACTTGCTTTGAGTTTACTACTACTCTGAGACTGTAAATCTTTGAGATACAAAGCAAATGAAGTAAGACACTCCATATTGGACAGAATTACACTCAAGCCTCTGCTTCTTGCTTCAACTGATCTTATCCCAAAGGGTTAAGAAGTCATCTCTCCCTTGTAGAAGTTCTAAATCTCATCTGGGCATCACAATATTTCTTCAGGATGAATCAGCTCTCAGTACAAGGTTATTTCTATGCCATCGTCTTTTCCCAGTATTAACACAGTCATGCTCCTCACCAGACACTTTGGGGTTCCAAACACCCCAGTTGAAGAGCTGGTCCGAAAAAGCTTATATACACACTAAAGCATTCTTTTCCTTGAGAAACATGTATATTTAAAGTCAATTTTGAATAATATTTACTTTTTTAAAAATTGTTTTTATTGAGCTCTACATTTTTCTCCATTCCCTTACCTTCTTCCCCTCTTTGCTTCTACCCTCTCCCATGACCCCCACACATGCTCTCAATTTACTCAGGACATCTTGTCTCTTTCTATTTTCCATGCAGATCACATCCATGTACGTCTCTCTTAGATCCTCTTTGTAGTCTAGGTTCTCTGGGGTTATAAATTATAGGCTGGTTTTTTTCTTTGCTTTATGTCTAAAACCCACCTATACATACTATATTTGTCTTTTTGGGTCTAGGTTACCTCACTGAATATGTTTTTATTCCAGATGTATCCATTTGCCTATAAATTTCAAGATATTATTTTTTTTTACTACTGTGATTGGGAAAATAACCTTCACCAGCCCCACATCAGACAGAGGACTGATCTCCAAAATATACAAAGAACTCAAGAAACTTGACATTAAAGGAACAAATAAGCTAATAAAAAATGGGGTATAGACCTAAACAGAGAACTCTCAGCAGAGGAATCTCAAAGGGCTGAAAAACACTTAAGGAAATGCTCAACATCCTTAGCCATCAGAGAAATGCAAATAAAAACAATTCTGAGATTCCATCTTATACCTGTCTGAATGATCGAGAGCAAAAACACTGGGGTAAGGAGAACACTCATCCATTGCTGGTGGGAGTGCACACTTGTACAGCCACTTTGGAAATCAGGCAATTTCTCAGAAAATTAGGAAACAATCTACGTTAAGATCCAGCAATACGGCTGTTGGGTGTATACCCAAAAGTGGCTCAATCATACCACAAGGACATTTGCTGAACTATGTTCATAGCAGCGCTATTTATAATAGCCAGAACCTTGAAACAACATAGATGCCCCTCAAGCAGAAGAATGAATAAAGAAAGTGTGGTACTTGTTATTTTCCTTGGTAGTTTTATCCCTTCAGCTGGCTTCTCTGTACAGATAGATCCCTCTGCTAAGCAATCTTCCTGTTCTGTCACCTTGGACCCCCTTATGACCTTGCTAAAACTAGTATTGAATACTATTCAATAAGCTACAAAGAAGCCTCTAAATGCTGTGTCTAACACACTTCCAAGTGAGACCAAGGCTGCTGGCCTATGTACTACACTTTAAGCACCAAGGTCTTGAGAGCAGATGAGGCAGGAGCACAAGCTTACACTTATTTTGACAGTAGAAACATCAATTTTTCCATTCATTCAAGTTATTTTCAGATGCTCCAGTGTCTTATACTTCATACAAATGCTTTGCACAACTGATAAATTACTTTTTCAGTAGTCCATTTCAACCATTTAAATTCCTTCTATTCTAGACTGTCCCAGAGATCACTTCTGTGGTGAGAGATTGTCATTAAAATGAGGAAGTGTTACTGGCATTTGATGGGTTGGGGCCTATGGATCTGCAAAGCACTCTATGATGAATAGACAAGAGTCCTCAACAAAAAGAATTCTAGCTTTCACATTCAAAAATCGAGAATTAAAGAATCTTTACTTTAATACCTCTCAGATCTGGCTCTCTGTCAATTCAATAGAAGGTCCACCATGTGCCAAACCCAAACTACCCATTACTTAAGGACTAACAACCATTCCTTTTATAAAATATGTCGTGAATTCTTATGTTCACCTAATCACCCTATATCTTACTAAAGAATTCTTACTGGCCTTGGGGAAGGTGTTAGCTCCTAAAGCTGAGCAATGGGCTTTCTGAAGGAGGAGTTGAGGTGCCTCTCCACCTCAGCTACAGATGACGGTTGCTCCTCTATCTCTGATCTGTGACTACCACAGTATTCCTCTACATTTCCAGATTGCTTTACATCCTACTTCAGGAGTCACCACAATGCTAACAGGTTTAGTCAAGTTCCTCCTTAAACTCTAACAATTAAGGTAGCTAGTATATGATTCAAACAGGTACACAAGTCTTCAACACCAGGAATAAAAACCACTATGGAAAACTGAAATACACAGTGGCAAAAGGTTCCAAGAAGTTCAATGAGAGTCACTGGAGAAAAACAAACAAATAAAAAAGCAAGAAAAACTAAAACCAACAAAAAAAAATCACTAAATTTTAATATTGAAGTAATAAAAAATGTTATAGCAGTTTAGTTTTTAAGAACAGGATTTCATTTTGTAGGCCCAGTTAACCTGGACTATATGGCAATAACCTGCCTGAGCCTCTCAAGAGCTGGAATTACTGATGTGAGTCACCACACCACAGCCAGCTGAAAATCACATCTGTTATTACAGTGCCACCTATTATGAAAAGAGCCAAACCTGTGCAGCATTACAGGCAGGTACACACAGGCTCTGCTTACATTAAGAGAGCCTAGAAACACACAACATTAAGACAGAATTTGAGAAGGTATATCTGAATGTTTTTAATTTAAATCAAATTTATAGAAATCCTCATTTTATATGATTGAAAACATTCTCAATAGGATATTTATCATAGTCTCAAACCCAACTCAAGTACACCTACCTAACACAGTCACAGTTGTAGAGGACTGGGCATTTCCAAGAGGGAATGTAACAGCTTTGCATATGTATTTTCCAGAGTCTGAGAAGCCTATGTTATGCAGAGTAATTGTTGCATCATTAAGTGAGTAGTTTTTAAACAAGACTCTTCCCTGATAATCTCCTTGAACAGAGAATCCATACTGAGGATGATGAACTGCAACAGTCTGTGTACTTTTGCCATGGATCTTCTCCCATGAAATCTGTGTTATGGTTTCATTCACTTCAATTAAACATTTCAACGAAACATTCTTTCCCCACACTGCTGTGACATGTGGCTCCACGATAATTGATCCAGCTAAGGCACCTATAAACAAAACAAAAACACATGTTACACAGTTTTGATAATGGAAAACGTATGCTAACATACAGTCACTCTCCCTCTTTCTCTATACATATACACATATCCAACCACCCACTCCCCCCCCCCACACACACACCTGAACAATAAGAGCCTGAAAAGAGCTGGGATTGGGTCAGCTGGAAGTCAGCTACAAATGATCATCAAACCATTCAACAGTGAGCTCCATAGAAAGGGAACTACACTGGAGGCAGATTCTCCCACATCAAAACTTCACATGAGATTTCAGACCTAGCTGCCCCCTTGACTGCAGCTTTGTGAGAGTCTAAAGCAGGGTGCACCATATCTAGATGCCCCTCCCCACTGAACCAAAGAAGAGTAGATGTTATTTCATAGTTAACAAATTTTAGGCATTTTTTTAATGTAACAATAAATAACTTGTTTAAGATCTAAGATCAAGGTAGTTTCCTGTGGAATGCTAAAATTCTCTATAAAACAACAATCTTTGAGATAGACCAACTTCAAAAAAACACTAAAGAAATGTTTACTATGAATACAAAATTGTCTTTTTTTCAGCAGAGTGAAAAAACATTTCACAAGCAAGTTTAAAATGAAATGACACCAAACTTCTCCTAAATGCCAGAGAATCACAATTGTCCTGAAGGAGACCAATACTGATCACTGTTTTGAAGACACTGATCAGTAAATGCTTAAAACATAAAGAAACTACCCTCAGAGAGCTCACCACACGTCAGCTGACAAGGAAACAACAAAAACTATGAAGCCAAAATAAGTCCTCAAAGCATAAATTGCAAAAACATCTTTAAAACAATGTCATTTCTAACATTTTAAATGAATATACAAGCACAGAAGGAATGAAAATAATTTTTAAATGCAGTAAATTTTATTCAAATACTATTTTTTTCTGTTTTGTTTTGACAAGGCCCACTACATAGAAAAGCTGGCCTTTTGCCTGATGACTCTCATAACCCACAGTGTTTGTGCCACCGGCCCCAGCTTTCTTCACTCAGGACTAGACAACAGTCTTAAACAATATTCTCTCTTTTTGGGGGGGAAATATTGCAAAAAAGTCAATAAAATGGAAAAAGGACCTTCTAAAGGATGACTATAGGAAGGGTCTAATATTTATTATTTATAGGAGGAAACCGATCATTTATAACACTATCTTTAGCAACCACAAAAGAAAATGTTTTGGTGTTCTTTAAATCATTGCTTGTTATCAAGAACCCCTCAATTTATCATCACTCATTATTAACTTGAAATGTCAAAAATAACTAGCTCAAGATATAAGATGTGCAGTATTCTAGGTATTTTAGTATGAGGTAGGGTAAAGTCAGGCGCTAAGCCAAAAATTATACAAACTCACAAAAAACTATCACGAATATTGACTTGTATTGGAAGACAGGAACAGGACGATCAGATGGGAAAGGAAGGGAACAAGTGGGTGAGGGAGGGACAGTTAAAACTAAGGGCCATTTGAGAAGTCATATGGAAGTCTAATACAGTAGAATCCTAAAATATATAGGATTCAATATATATAATTGAAGGTCATCTAAATGGAATTGCTAAATAATGGGGAGACAGAACCAACTGGACATATCTCTCATTACCAAACGAAGCCTCCAGTTCTGGGAATGGGTTACATCTAATCAGCTGCTGGCCAAACAACCTAAGCCACTGTCAGGGCTACTATTTCCTATCCATAAACTGACAATAAGGCTCTTGAAGAGAAAAGGAGAGCTGGCACTTACTTTAAAGCCTTCACTCCTATGGACTAATGTTCACGGCACCAGAAGGGACTCTGTGTACAAAGGCAAAATGGTACACACCAACCTAACTACAAATCCTTCAATCTACAATGATATTTCACCTGCATGATTCTTAAATCTAATAATGGAGCTAACCAACCAATAATATCTGACTGGACTTAAGGCCCACTCCATGAAATGGAACCCTTTCCCAACCTTTGGGTAGCCAAGCCAGGGACTAGGGGAAAATCAAATACCACTGCTTTGCCAAAAAACAGAGCAATAAAATGGTGGAACAAAATGTTCTACTATACTCATAGATCAGGGTTTTGCACAGTCATCAGAGAGAAGAGAGCCATCATCAGAAAAACTTCCTCCTGCAGGAAATGGAACAATACAGAGTCACACCTGCACAATAGTGAATACAGAGTAAGACACCTTGAATACTCAATCCTAAATGGATCTCCATCAATTCCTTCCCCCTCAGAACTCAAGAAACACTAAGGAAGAGAAGATGGAAAGATTCTGAGAGCCAGAGGGACATGAAGGACTCCAAGGTATCAAGCGCTCTAAATATGTATGTACATATGAACTCATAGAGACTGTGGCAGCATGCAAAGGGCCTCCATAAGTTTGGGTCTCATGGGGTCCCAACACTGACAGGAAATGAATATAAGCCCTCATTCCTAATCCAGAAGCTAATCCAATTGACAACTACTCACAAATGAGAAAAATTAGTTTCCTTCATTAGAGGCTCTCACTGAGGAAACAAACACTCTTAAGGCCAATCCCCATGCCCCACAGCACATGGCCAACACAGAACTAACTCAATGGCACCTTTGAAGGTTCTTTGTCTCATAATGTTTTGGCACTTATTTTTTCAATTGTTTTTGTTTTTTAACTTTTCTTTATAGGTCCTTTCCATATATATTATGGTTTTCAGTTTTGTATTTTTATGGAACACATGTGTCTCAGTGTCTACTGTGTTTTCTGAGCTTTTTCTTTGGCTCTTTTTCTTTGTAGTTTGTTTATTTTGTCCCATTCTGGTATGTTTTTAACCTAATTTCATTTTATTATTATTTGTTTTAAGATGACTGTATCTTAATGAGGGAAAGAAAGGGTAAGGATTTGGGTGGGTGGGTAAGTGGGGAGCATCTAGGAGGAGCTGGGGAAGGTAAAATCATAACCAGAATATATCATACTAAAAATTTTCAATAAAAAGTTTTTTTACAATAAATGCACATAGCATTATGATACATTAAGCTCTACATTTTATACATAAAAATATGATACCCAGTTGAATTTTTCAAGAATATAAAGATACTTTTTGACTAATAATAATGAAAGCTGACATAATTTTCTCATTTGATATCAAAAAAAAGGAAATTCAGTAACAATGAACACTTTTTGCCTGTCTTTTGTCAAAGAAAAAGCTAACTTCGAAGAAAACAAAATCTCTCAATAATAAAGTTTGCAAAACAGTCACCATCATCATTTGGGCTTGAGCACAGTATGGTGCATTCATAAGTGTTTCCAATCTGTGTAGAGCCCTCCATAGCGAATTTAGCTTTTACTTATACAGACAAAGAAAAGAAAAAAGGTTTATGGTAAGTAGAAGCAGCATCCAAGGCCACCACCTTGATTTTAGGCACACATGCTTAAGGTTCTAAAAACTCTCCTGGTGAATAAAAAGAAAGATTATAGACACACAGTAAGAAGATATTCAGATATAAAAAAACACTAAATTAGTCATAGTGTGTTTGATAAATGTACAGAGGCTTGGGAAAGAGAAAAGAAAGTACAAACAGTCATAGATTATTTATTTTAAAATCCTTAAAAAGGAATAGAATTTTATATATATTAAGCCAGGTAAAGATGGAAAATATACAAAGTCAGAATTATGAATATTATTGTATATTCTTAAAATTTTTAATTAAATTAGTTAATGAGTTAACTGCTTTGGTTATGGGGGGCTACTGAGTTAAACCAACATATATATTTTAAAGGGATCTTGACTTCAAAATTTAAATCTAAGGATATTTTGCTTTGGAAAAGTGGTTCTGCTTTTGTTTCCACTGAAGATGAAAACCTGTGGATTCCTTCCAGGCTAGTATGGTTTGACTGAACAAAAGCCCCTGAAAGGTCTCTGTAAACCCTACAGATACTTCATCCACAGACAGTAGGAAGTAGTTTGGAGAAAATAACGTCTACATTTCTAAGAGTTGGGGGATGGGTGGGTATGGAGGGCCTTTGGTTATTTGGTAGGTTAGGGATGTTTGCTATATTTAGGGAAATACAAAAATAAGACAATGGATGGAAATAGAAAACGCTTTACTGAGTGAGGTAAGCCAGACCCAAAAAGAGGAACACGGTATGTATTCACTCATAAGTGGATTCTAACCATAATTAAAGGTCTTTGAGCCTATTATTCGTGATCCTAGAGAAGCTAAATAAGATGAACCTGATGAAGATTATTTAGCTATCCACCAGGAGGTAGGAAATAGACAAGAGTCCCAGGTAACCTTGGGTGCATGGGGGTGGGGTGGGAGGGTAGTTGGAAGGGGAGAGGGTTAGAGAGAAGGGAGTAGGGGAGGAATGGGGAAAGCTCGGTGGACCGGGAGGGGGGGGGGGAGGGAGGAAGGATGAATATGGGATCAGGGAAGAATATATTTCAACTAAGGGAGTCATTTTAGGGTTTACAGGAGACTTGATTATATATGGGATCCCAGGTCCAAGGAGAGATCCCCAGATTGTTCTCTGGACAGAGGAGAGGGCGCCTGAACCGGCCTTGGCCCATAACCATACTGATGAATATTTTACTTATCACCATAGATCCTTCATCTGGCGAAGGACGGCGATACAGATGGAGACCCACATTGGAGCACTGGACTGAGCCCCCCATGGTCCAAATGAGGAGCAGAAGGAGGAAGAAAATGAAAAAGGAAATAAGGACTGCGAGGGATGCTATCACCCACTGATACAAGGGGACAGATCTAATGAGAGTTTACCAAGGCCAGTTGGATTGGGACTGAACGAGGAGGTGATCTAACCAGATTCTCAGAATTTGGTCGGATTCTCTGAATGTGGCTGGCCCGAAGTCTTTCTGAAAAGCCATTGACTATGACACTGAGACTTGTTTCCTCTGCATATACTGGATTTTGGGGATCCAGTCTGTTTGGACACTCACCTTCCTGGACCTGGAGGGAGGGGGGAGGAACTTGAACTTCCCACAGGGCAGGAAACCCTGACTGCCCTAAGGGACGAAGAGGGAGGAGGAGAGGGAGTGGGGGGAGTGGGA